CCATCAAACTAATTAGAAAAGAGCCCCTTCTCATCAAGTGTAGAAATACACATGGCCTGGCAAAGTGTGAGCTGCATTTCGTTATCACTTTGCCCCCTTGGTCAGATGCTGTTTATTGTGCAGGGTGCAATTTTTGCCGCTGTATCCATCCACTGCATGCACGCTATGAACTATGTAGTGCCACCATTATGCATTCAGATACTCATATCTCACCTGAGCTATATTTTTCTTTAGTTCACGTGTGTTTCGATTTCTCTTAACTCTTTTTAAAAGCATAGTTTCTCACATTTGGTTATAAGAATTTCTCAATATTTGCTCTGAATATAAAAACCCATGAATACATGCCGTCTAAGCTAATCATGTTAGATCATTCAAGAGTCATCTTCAGGCAACCCCAGAGCCTGGAAAATTTGCATTGTAGATGCTGTTGCATTAGTATATTCAGTTTTTCCCCCATCATCTTTTTTGTGATGGTACATTCACTGATTTATCTTGGCATTCGTTTTACCAAAGATTCTAAGGTGGATTCCCCCCACTATGTTTCTTACATAAAAGCCAGTATCCAAGTGCTGTACTTCACAATAATTCTGTGCCAGAAAATTCGTATTTATAAACTAGTTTGACTATCCTAGCTGGCACACGCTTTTTTCCATGTTAAAGACAGGCACTGTTTTCTTTCTAGCACTGAAATTGAAAACAGAGGTGTCATTGTTTTTAGCACATGATCCAACTAACCAGTGCTGCACATCTTCAAACTTGCCAAGTTAGGAAAAGTACTTAGTACCCTTGCTTAATGTCTTAGGAACAGTAAACTATTAAACAAGTTTCTTACCAATTGGCTGCAACATTAAAGCTGTGAAACTTCAAATCAGTTTAAAAAACAGCATTAAAAAGCATGGAAAGTATGTTTATGTTCTGTGTATTTGTAGCTGTATATGTATTATAAAGCTAAAGATATTAATCCAATAAAGTACAAGTTACTTTCAAATAACACAGGATTAAAAAAAACTTTTTTTCCCTCTTCCAAAAGCCATAATAGGCTGGGCGCTGTGGCTCATGCCAGTAATACCAGAACTTTGGGAGGCCAAGGTGGGCAGATCACCTGAGGTCAGGAGTTCACAATCAGCCTGGCTAACATTGTGAAACCCCATCTCTACCAAAAATAAAAAATAAAAATAAAAAAAGCTGGTGGCTTGCTTCTGTAATCCCAGCTACTCAGGAGGCTGAGGCAGGAGAATCTCTTGAACCCTGGAGGTGGAGGTTGCAATGAGCCGAGATGACACCACTGCACTCCAGCCTGGGTGACAGAGTGAGACTCTATCTAGGGGAAAAGAAAAACCATAATGCAAGTGTTTACAGTTCTTTTTCTTTCTTTTCTATTAATAAATGGTACAGGGACCTAACCATGCAAGTAAAAATGCTTTTTATATTAAGATTTTTGAATTCTGAACATTCTTTTTATTAAATTTCTGTTTCATAGTTTATCTGTTGAAATCTGGTCAGAAAAACTAGTTATTTCAATAGAGAGAATCTAGTATAAAGAATTTGCTAACTTGATACAAAGTTGTTAACCAGATCATTGAGGAGGCAAGAAAGTAATGCTAAGGTACCTCAGAGGAAGCAATTGTAAAAACAGCTACCACTTCTAGGGTTGGAGAAACAAAGGGAAGAGATTGGAATTATTAAAACTTAAGTGTAGAGGAGGAACCCTGTGGAGCTGACCTGAAAAAAAAAGGCATTGCTTGCCTGGTTTTCAATGGAGAGACCTAGTTCTCAGAGGATTCCGTACTGGGGGATTGGTCTGTCATGGGGTTGTACTGTGAGCCTGTGGTTGAAAAACTGCAAATTAGATTCTGTTATGCTTCAGAAAGGAATTGCTGATGGCTGTGGCGAAGTAAGGCTGGGACGATGCTGACAGGAACAGCAGCCAGTTGAAGTCTAGGGATGCAGACAGAAGCATATCTCCTCCCTCTTCCAGACTCTGCTATTGGCAAAGGCTAAATGTGATTTGCAGTCTCAAACCTAGCATCACAAGATAGAAGGATGAACTTGGAGACGGCTAGACAAGAATGTACATAGATCTTCAGACTTTAAACGTTAGGGGGAACTAGCTTAAGGTCTCAGTTACAATAAACTAATTATGGATCTTTAACAGTTGGATAGATGTTAATAGCTGCCAAGTTTTAAAAGTCAGTTAAAGGCTGGGCAAGGTGGTTTGCACTTGTAGTCTCAGCTTGCTGGGAGACTGAGGCAGGAGGACACTTGAGACCAGGAGTTTGAGACTGCAGTGTGTGAATTGTACCTGTGACTAGCCCCTGCACTCCAGCCTGGGCAACATAGTGGACCCCATCTCTAAAGAAAAATTTAAAGTCAGTTAAAAAGCAGCTCAAAAGAAAAGCATAGTGAGCATTCGAGTATTTCACAGTCCATATATCTGAATATATAAAGGTAGCAAACTATGTTATCTTCACATAATTGTCAAAGGATTTAGACTTTTCAAAAAAGCTATAACTTCTCTCATTTTCATTTGTCTTTCTTTGTATTGTTACAGTGTAATCATGTTGTTGAAAAAAAATCTTCTATTATAATATCCTGAATAAGGGTTTTACATTTTGACTTGTAGCATTATTAAATTTCTATTCCGTACTTGTAAATACTAATTGTATGCTTTTAAACTTGTATGTTTTAAATTCAGAGGTAATTGCAATAAAAGAAAGCACACATACCGATTTTATTATAGCAAACAACTCCACTGGAATCCTTAAATCTAAGATGAAGTCTACATAAGCCATTTAGTACTTAGAATCCCACAGTGGTTTCCTGTCAAATAAAATACACACTCCTTTGCCTGACTTTTTAAATGTCTTTTAAGACAACCTCATATGATAACCATCTACTTTCTTAGTATCTCTCATTACTTTTATTTTTCCCTCCTGAAAGCAAGCAGGCTGGACTGCCCTCTGTCCTTTAACAGGCCCAAAAGTTTTTAGGCTTTTGCTCAGGTTGGTCCTTGCCCCAGCATGCCTTTTCATTGGTTTTCTCTCCTTACATACCTGTCAAAATCCCACCCCTTCTTCAAAGCTATCTACATTTAATGAACCTCAGTGAAGTTTGTCCTCACCTACACAACTGATTTTTAAAAATATTTTTCTGAGACATAATCTTACTCTGTCACCAGGCTGGAGTGCAGTGATGCGATCCTGGCTGGCTGCAGCCTCCACCTCTTGAGTTCAAGCGATTTTCCTGCCGCAGCCTCCTGAGTAGCTGGAACTACAGGTGCATGTCACCACAACCAGCTAATTTTTGTATTTTTAGTAGAGACGGGGTTTTACCATGTTGGCCAGGATCATCTTGATATTTTGACCTCGTGGCCCACAACTGATGTTCTTTCCCCACAATACCTTTTATTTTTCTCAAAGGTGTTTTACCCAGAGACACACTTAACCATCTGTAGTATCTGGCTAAAATTCTACTGTTACTATAAAATCCTACTCTTAATATTTCCAGATATTCTCATTATTCCATTTAGAAAGTCTGCCCAGACTGCACCCAGATCCCTATACCTGCTGCTCCACTTAATGTCTTAGGCATACTCATCATTCATGACTTTCTAAAAAAAATACTCTAATTCTTTTTTTCCTTTTTTTATTAATAGAGATAGGGCCTTGCTATGTTGCCCAGGTTGGTCTCGAACTCCTGGTCACGCAGTTCTCCCTGTCTGGGAGCTAAAAGGAAAGCAGTTTTTGCATGACTCAACTCCCAAGCTTATCTTGCCCTTTGACATAGTGAGATTGGGTTCCTGAGACTTTATTTTCCTTTCACAGCATTGGTTAGAGAATATGGGTTGTAGGCCGGGTGTGGTGGATCACACCTGTAATCTCAGCACTTTGGGAGGCCAAGGCGGGCAGATCATTTGAGGTCAGGAGTTCGAGACCAACCTGGCCAACATGGCAAAACCCCGTCTCTACTAAAAATACAAAAATTATCCCGGTGTGGTGGGAGGCACCTATAATCCCAACTACTCAGGACGCTGAGGCAGGAGAATTGCTTGAACCTGGGAGGCAGAGGTTGCAGCAAGCCAAGATAACACCACTGTACTCTAACCTGGGTGACAAAATGAGACCCCTTCTCAAAAAAAAAAAAAAATATATATATATATATATATAGTAGGTTGCATTATTTCTACCTTTGGAATTTATGATGAGCTTTCTAGTGGCTTAATGATGCTTGATCAGTGTTTTCTTTAAGTGTGTCATAAGTGAGTTAACATTTTGCCTGTTGTTTTTTAAATTTATTCTAATGAGGTTGTCATTGGTTTCATATATAACTTGCTGATAACCATTTCTCTATGTATGGTAAAGCAAGATTGTGTGTATAAGTGATCCACTGCAGTCCTCGATTGTACCTTTCTTTCATGTTAAAACATAGCTGTATAGTGTTTTGAAATATACTTTTAATACTATAACTTCTTTAAATTTTGTTTTAGCATTCACCCAGTTCATTCCTGTCCATCCTTTGATTTTCATCTATCTGAGCTACCACGCCCGGCATTCCTCTGTTACTGTTATCTAAAGTCTTTTCAGTATGCACATAGGCTGATTTTTATATTGTCAATCTGAAAATCCCAGTTTTCAATTGTTTTATTTAGTGGCTGTTAAGGAAATAAACAATTTAAATAATTTGGGGGGGGTCCACAAATAAGCCTTAACTAAAAAAGATAGTTTATCATAGAGGAGGAAATAAATTCCTCATTGAGACAATTAAAAAACAATCAGTCTTAACATTTTGGTATATATCTGTTGCCTGTGTACGGAGTCGGGGGGATGGAAGAAAGAGCAGAATGGAAATAGTTTCTTTGTCAGATATCTTCAGTATCACTGTTAATTCACTTGTTTTATAAATTAATAGCTTCTCCTTTAGAGAAGCTATTATTTTAAGTGTTTAAGGAGTGGGTAGAAGAAAGAAGTGAACGTCTTAATTTTTTCTTTTTCTCTCTAAAGATTTCCATGGAGAATGATTACCTGGGACCTCGAAGAATTGAGAGTCTACAAAAAGAAGATGCTGATTGGCAGCGGAAAGCTCACATGGCTGTACTGTCTATTCAAGATCTTACTGTCAAGTATTTTGAAATAACAGCTAAAGCTCAAAAAGGTAAGTTTCTCAGTAAAATTATCCATTAGGTATTTTTGAAAATGAGTGGTTAAGTATTTTATGTTCAGAAAAATTGCATAGAAAAATATATAAGGATCACTCATAATCCCAGCGGTTAGAGAAGACCACTATTAGCAAATTAAGATACATCCTATCCGTCTTTTCTAGATATATATTCAAATATATATAATTAAAATATGAATTATAAATAATTATGTTTCTACTAACATACTGAGGAAAAAAGCTTATAAAACCTCACAGAATTAATGTTTTACTTGAAACTTTGAAAGTTAACGACACTGGACATGTGGAAGTGTTTTTAAAGTTTCTAAAAGCTAATTTACAGTGTTTTAACTGCGGAACGTTATTTCTGAGGACAAGTTGAAGACATTAGAATTTAAGATAGTCTCAATTTATATTTTAAAAATGTTATAAGCAGTTTATCATGACAGCAGGATTTGTTTTTCTCTGTGGCCAGTGAAATCATTTTCAAATACTTCAGTATTAAGTTGCTTGTCTTAATTTCTCTTTAAACAATTATTAATAGCTGTGTATGATCGAATGCGAGCAGATCAGAAGAAATTTGGTAAAGCATCATGGGCAGCGGCTGCTGAACGGCTAGAAAAACTCCAGTATGCAGTTTCTAAAGAAACTTTGCAGATGATGAGAGCTAAAGAGATATGCTTGGAGCAGCGGAAACATGCACTAAAGGAAGAGGTAACAAAAATCATCAGAAAAATCAGAAAAGGCTGCATTTGTCATTTTAATCTTTGTACAAGACATTTTTCTGATTCCAGAGGCAGGAATTTTATGCTGTCTCCATGAGATGAAAACACAACAGGTCATTAGAAGAGTTAGACACAGCATATTTCACAGCATCGCAGTGTTATGGTTGGCAGCACTGCACTGTTGATCAAAGAAGCCAGCATCAGAACTTCTTAGTTGCTGTAAAGTTTTTTTATACTGTGAAACATAAAGATTTCCAGCAATTATTTTAAGAAGTTTCATTGACCAGAGAAATTTAGTGAAATTTTTAAGGTAGTGGCGTTTTGTTAGGATTGATTATATAATGCTTTTATACCGTTACATTTTGGAACTTCCCACTTTATTTCTACTGGAACGCACCAGTCTCGCCCATCTCCTTCCTCCTCTCTACCCCCTATAGTCACTGTCTATCCTTTTTATTATTGATATAGGTATAAATATTCATACCCATTTTGTGGGTTGTCCCTGTTGACTTGAAACCACTGACTATATATTTATGAAAATAGTATATTTTAATCTCTAGAGAAGAGCAAACCATCATCTCTGCTTTTGTTATAAGAATACAGCTTTATGTAAAATACATTTTGTTTTGTTTTGTTTTTGGCTTAGGTCATACAACAAGATGGTCTTCATTGACATTTTTAAAGTGCTTATACTTATCTACACTTGTTTAAGAAATAGTATATGAAATAACCTATAAGGTATACCTGTGATCTAGAAATCTTTTTGTTGATGGATTTGTGTTAGAATTGTATTCCCCGCCCTACCCCCCTTTTTTTTTGCTGGCTATTAGAAGGTAAAATTGGAACTTGGCTTATCCAGGAAATGATTCACACTTTATATTCAGAATTGCTGTGCATGCATTTCATCTCCATCTTGTGTTCCCCTGAGGTATTTCTACTGTAATATATCCTTTTCTAATTAGTTTGTTCCCCTCATGTTACTAGCTCTCTGGAGTGTCTTAAATTCTAGAATTTTTAAACTTAAATCCCTCTTTTTGCTTGAAATAGAGTACTACCTTTATCTTCATCTTTGTGTGTCTTGCTCTGTCACCCAGGCTGGAGTGCAGTGGTGTGATCACAGCTCACCGCAAACCCCAGCCTCTTGGGGCTCAAGTCCTCCTACCTCAGCCTCTCAAGCAGAAGGCATTCACCCCTACACCTTGCAAATTTTTATTTATTAACTTGTATTTTGTAGAGACGAGGTTTCCCTTTGTTGCCTAGGCTGATCTTGAACTCCTGGGCTCGAGGAATCCTTCTGCATTAGTTTCCTGAAGTGCTGGAGTTACAGGTGTGATTCACCATGCCCAGCCCATCTTCATCATATTGTCTAGCATTATTGTTCTAACTTGACTAACATTGAGTTATTGTGTCAGTGGGCAGCTGCCTAAGAGCAGCAGGGGAAGGTAAGATTTCTGACTACTCTTAACTGTAAACAGTCTAAAGTAGTAGAGGAAAGAAGAGGATGAAATGGACCCTGAGCTTTTGAGATGATTATCTTGAGGAGGGGGACTGTTATTCCCTGGGGCCATCCTGTTAATGTAATAGTGTTTGAATTCTTCACAGTATTTGTTAAAACTGCCAGTTAGTCATTCTTGGCCAGGTTTTTGCTTGTTTTGTATATAATATAGATAGTTACTGTGCTTTATATGTATACATGTGTGGTGATGTACTGTACCAGTTTTACTAGCATTTATTTAACATGCCCACATTACTCATGAGAAAGAGAGTAAATGTGAATTATTAAGCCTATCCCAGAATAGTGCTTTGCCAGTAAAGGTTTTGCAAAACAGTGCTACCCTGTGATTTGTCCCCATAGGTTATTTTTAGAACATAGTTCTTCCTGATGGGACAAAATTGAAACACCCAAAAAATGAAAATGTTTCTAATTATTTTAAATTTAATTTAAAAATTAAATGTAAAATATTTCAGAATATTTGCCACAAGCATAATGCTGTACTGGAAATAAATGTTCTGAATTAACACTGAAATATTAAATATTACCTAAGCAGGCAAAATTTTGTTTGACTTGAAAAAATTAACTGCTTTTAGGAGTAGATACTGTTCCTTTTAATTTATACCTCCTTTAACTGTTTGTGGGTATTTTTTAAAACATTAATTTAGTTAGTTATAATAGAGAGAGGGTCTCAATATTTTGCCAGGGCTGTTCTCTAATACATGGCCTCAAGAGATCCTCTTGTCATGGACTCCCAACGTTCTGAGATCATAGGTATGAGCCACCGTGTCTAGCACTGAGTCTTAATTATACTCATTCTTATCCCTTTTAGGTCATTCTTGCCACTTTAAGAATATGAGAACCCTATACTCAGTAATACACATGTCTATATACAGTTTTGCACACAATTTTAGTAGGTTCTCAAACCATCTGTATCTGAAGCTCTTATTTCAGAATGACCCCCACATGTTCTTATTTCCTTATCAAAAGTTGCCTCAACCAACATTTCAGGGTTCACAAAGCATGCCGTTGACTAGGTGATGTGGCATTTTGTGTGGGCCTTGCCAGAAAGTTCCAACAGCAAGAAGCTGTGATATGGTGGACAGAGCCTGAGTCTGAGCAGAAGTGGGGTTTTTGAGGTGCTTGTCCAGGCAAGGAGATTGGTTTTTAGTTTTCATTTTATTATTCCATAGGTTCAAACTATATATTTCAAAGTCTCTAAATATAAAAAGCTGAGTTCCACTGTAAAGGCCTTATTTTATATTAAGTTCTGTTTTCACCATATAAATTCTGTTGTGGCAGCAGTTGGAGAAAAGTTTAAAATGTTTTAGGCCCTGTCCTTGGCTTCATGTATATTATCATTAAATTCTCAAACATAACCTTTTGTGCTACAAGCCCATAAACCTAAATTCCCTGAGAAGAGATATGTTTCAGAATCCTAGGTTTTGTTTTTAGATTTTAGAAAGGTGTAAGATATAACTTAAGGTGTAAGCATATAACTCCAGACAAGTGTTGTTAATCCACTAATGAAACACCTGGTCACATTAAATGGAATAACTAAGGATTAAAAATAGTCTTATGAAAAATTCAGATCCTGTTTTTCCACAAATGGATCGTGAGATTTGGTTTGACATTAAATAAATCATGGAAATTTTCCATTTTCCAGGATTTCTGTCATGCGGAATTCAGTTAATTCTGTCAATTAGTGTTAACCCATATTTGTGCAGTTGTTATTGATGGAACATGTATCTATACTTGGACTTGTCTGGTACTAATTCTCATGTTGGTTCTTTCTACAAGTTTTTTTGGTTGAAAACTCGCCCTTGCCATCTTTCTGCTTATGCTGTCCAAGGCTTTTATGACCCCTAAAAAAAAAAAAAAGACATAGCCTTGCTCTGTCACCCAGTCTGGAGTACAGTGGTGCAATCATAGTTCCCTGTGGCAAGCTCAAATTCCTGAGACTCAAAGACTCCCTACTGTCTCAGACTTCTAAGTCATTGGGATTACAGGCACATGCCACTCCGCCCATCTATGACTTATTTTCAAACCCTCATTTCATTTCTTGTTTACTGCACGTTTTCTGTAACTCAAACAGTGGTGGATGCTCGGTGAGTATTTTCTGAATGACTGATTCAGTCAACAGGTAGCTCTTTTAATAGTTCCTCTAGTATCATTGAAATTTTCTAGCACAGTAGGGTGAAAGGCAGAATAAGGGCATAATAAGTTTGCATAGTTTGCAGAAAGTGCCATCTGGTTTCATGATAAGGTACAGTCAAATAGGTGTACATGAAAACTACTTTATTATTATTACACATAGAATGACTATGGAGTCAGCAGGGTGTATTGTACTTATGTGGATGTATGGACATGAATTTGTACTCCATCCCCTTTCAACAATAATAACACTTTGATATTTTTTCCATATTTTTTGACTGGTAGTCCCTAATTTTACCTAGTGGAAGAACACTCTTATAGGAATCAGGTGAATTGACTCTAACTCAAACTTTGCTATTCATTACCTGGATCACATTGGGATGTTACAGTTTCATTGGGATACTGATATCCTCATACTTAAAGTATGTTTAGAAGAGTAAAAGTTGAGCTAAGTTAATTTTTAAGATAGCCAATATTTCCTCATTATTTAAACTACTTTCAGGGATTCTTTCTTCTTGCCCAGGAAAGCACTGCTCTCAGATATAAAAAAGACACCCCCTACTTTTGCACCATTCCAGAAAAAAAAAGACACCCCCATCGTGTCACCCACCTTTCCTGCACTGCTTCATTATCTGGAATTAGTTCTCTTTACTCTGGATTCTGTTTCCCTTAGTTCTATGGCTGTCAACTGAGGATAGGAAAACTCAGTCTGGAAATTTCAGATGTTAAAACAGGGAAGAAATTTGGAGCAGGGTGCCCACTCCATACCTCTTTATGCCTTATACTAAGGATTTTGCTTCTACGTTGAAGATTAGAGAGACTTCAGAGTATTATTTTGCCCTCACAAATGTCTCTGAGTCATAGCATTTCTTTCTCCTTTGCTGATCTCATAAAAGCCCATATATTCTGGCTCCATAACCCTTTAGCTTTTCCCAAAGTCCACCCTCCTCACCTGTTGTTTGGCCTTTCAGAGGTTGGGATTTAACAGACTCCTTCACTGCTTGTCTTCCTCTGATGAGATTTTGGTCATCTTTAGACCACAGACCTTGGCAAATCTACCTCTGGACTCTTGGTCTAGATAGAACTCACTCAACCAGAAAGTTGGAATGAAGTCACTGCTTATAAGAGAATACCCACTTTCTTTCTCATTTTGATTTTTTGATATTGTGTCCTGGCAGCACTGTATTCTCAAGTGCTTTTAAAGTGCACTGGCACTGGGCAGCTGTCAGAGTACGGTTCTCTTTGTGGTTGAGACAGCTACCGTGTAAAGGCATGTCACTGGGGGATTTTCAGCCTTTTTCCTTAGCCAAGAGATTGGACAGGAGAGACAAACTTACAGAGTG